CTCCACGCCAGGGATTTCAATCAAGCCACATTTAGTCTCAAAAATGCTGCCTCCAAAACAAATCTATTACATGCTTCAAGTGTCTCTGATTTCTGATGTCCAGGCCAGCTAGACAATGCCCAGCCCACATTTCTAAGCAGCTTTCTCACAGCACCATCTCAACAACTACTACTGCCCATTCATCCACGCTTCAGCACCACCAAAACTCTGTCTGTCATTTGACAGACCAATCACCGGTCTCTCACTTCCCTAAGATAGAAAAATAATACATCAATCAAGAAACAACCACATCTAATATATATAGCACTGCCACTCCTCCCTAAATCATTCCCACTAAACCTGCTCCATGCTACTGCAAGAACACAAATATGGTGACGTACCTGTAGGATTTCTATCATGAACAGACAGGGATATGCATATGCCATTGAATCAACCATCATGAGGTCTAAACTAATCACCCCATCACATGACGTGATTATTCTGGGTCGACTGCCCGTCAACCCTTGTCGTCATCTCCGCCTCAGAAGAATCGGAAGAGTGATGAAAAACTAATCCAATCAGGAGACAACAGAGATCTTTTGTATCAAGGACTAAAGAGTTCTTTCACAACATATAGTTGAGAGATACCTCGTGATCGCTTATGCATGGAACCATTATATATGCACAGGAAATGGCTAATTTAATCATAGCCTCCCGGTTTGCATGCGCACACAGGATCTTTACAGCGTGACACCACATGACCCATTGAACATCTGCTTCCTGCCCTTCTGAAACCCAACTGACCCGCATTCTTTTCTACTCAGCAAACCACCGCGTGACTTTTATGGACCATAGGACTTTCTCTACCTTCCAGAAAAACGCGCATTTCTCCTGTCACAGACAAAGAAACATAGAACTTACACAGACAATTTAAAAGACAATCATTTAAAAGTATAAAAGAGAAATATACTCCCAAATAATATGCTTTCTGTTTGATTGGAACCTATGATATTTTAATCTTTGCCTTATAACTTTTCCTTTTAGTACATTATTAATGTGTATGCAAACTACCCGATATTTGAGCTTGAACGAAAGCTTGTTTTATTTCCAGAACGTTGAAATGAGTGAAAAGCTGTTATTTTGAACGGTGTGTGTTGTACGACACTTTATAGAGGACTTATGCAGCTGGATCAAAAACCCAATGTCCGAACTGATCTTTGCCTTTTCGCCTTTGTGTTAAATCGCGCTCCAAGTTGCGCGCACACGCTGCACCATCAAGCGATCGGGTCATCCAGAACTCAAACACTTCAGTTGAAACTTCGTGACTGCCAGAGATCTTCAAAAGCCTAAAGTCTTGCAAACTCGCACTCTTTAAGAAGAACTGCCAAAGCCTCTGCATCACCTGGAAACCCCCTGCTGAAATCGGCGCTGAACTAATTAAGCAGTAAACATAAGCTAAGTCTCTGCTTTGTGATTCTCTCAGGTTGCAATTTAAAGAACTCGTAGAAAACGAGTGTTAGAACTTTGGGAACTTCCTCAGAACTCCGTTAAAATCCTCATCCTTTCAACTGTACGTGTGTGTGTATGTGTGTGTGTGTTTGTGTGTGTTTTCATTAGTTTAGTTTAATGTAAGCTAGAATAGCCAATAAACTGTTGTTTCATTATAAGAGTTATTGTCTTGTGTCGTGAATTTTTGAAGTTAAACCCTGCCCAGATCTTAGTTACCTCACGTCACTTCCTGTTTGTTGCTGCCGTGTGTTTTGAGTTTGAGCTTGTGTCGTGAATTTTAAAGTTAAACTCTGCCCAGATCCTTAGTTATCTAGCTCGTAGCTTATAAATTATCACAAACATGTATTAGCCTTTGGCCAGGGATAGTACAAATATTCAAATTGGTAAGATATACTGATGTTAGAGTCTCGCTGACCGAACGTTGATAAAGTGTAAACTATCAATTTTGGAATCAGTTCAATCAGGTTGATTTTGAATCTTAAGATTCGATTCCCCCCTCCTGAGCTAAAATAAGAGCTAAAATAAGAGTTAAATTTCCCTAATTCTTACATACCATACTCCCATTATCAGAGAATCAAGGTTACTTTACTTACATAACCTCAACTACTTCAAACATCCATCACGTGGGACATAGCCAACTCCCAGACCGCACATACACTGTCACAGGCATGTCAACCAACTCATGTACAGTATATGTTACACCAGAAAAACCAAACTGTTCCCACAAAAACAAATACTGCACTACCATAACAAATACCTTAACAACACAATAACAGCTCTGTAACATCCATTCCATACCAATCCAGTCACACAAAAAATGCCTCTACTAGAGTGAGCCTTCAGCCCCATGCTGTTATAACCTAATACTTGCACTACCACTTGGTCAGGTTATGATGTCAAACACTTCACCCATATGCAATTACTCACTCATTACTCCTTCTTAGTACTGACACAACACACAGGGTGCAAACTATGAAGCCTGTCCTCCTCCAACAGAAAAAAACAGCACTAATTCCAAGTCAATGACTTTACACAGTTAGTCCCAAGTAATACACAAGTTGATGTTCACTAACCTCCTTCCCAATAGAGGCATTCTCCAGCAAACAAAAATAAAACACTGCTTTTAATCAATACTACATATAGGGTCAAATACCAAGACCACACACATACTCCACCAGAGAACAGGCAGTTTCTTAACCCTGTTCAGGTGCCACGCACCTTTTAGAAACCTGCACCCAATTGGGTGTTCACCTGTAATATTTACCACCACAACACAGAGAAATTCCAGCAAGATATATCTTCACAGGATAAATGCCTCTGACCTCATCTCGCGCACAAAATATCTACAAAATACAAAATCAACAACAAACAATGAAAAAACAACAACAACAACAATTCCGTCACACACACCAAGTTGACGCAGTGGTTATCTGGCAGTGGTTCTTAATACTGAACAGTATTAAGAACCACTGCTTTAGAACATTGATTTTGAAACTTGTGAATCCATTAGAATCGTTATAAGACAGAATCGCGATTCATATATGAATAGAGTTTTTCGTGCACAGCATGGCAACAACTCTTCCTCTTCTCTAAAGCAGCGCAGCATGGCCTCACCCCCTTCTTTGCATGTTCCCAGTGGCAGGGTTTGTGATGTCACAAACCCGGGAAGTAACTCCTTGCATTCCCTACAAGCCATTTTTGTAGGCATTAAACTGCCATAATTTTAAAAGACGATATCTCCGTTTGCATTGAACTTTCAGCGTCGTAACTGCAGATATTGTTTATGCTCAAACAGCAACATTACACACTGAGCACGTTTACATGCACGTTCTTGAGCCGATTATGCTTAAGCCGAAAACGCACTTGGTTATGTAAACGCGGTAAACCATTTTCTTTTATCGGAGTAGGGTCATAAACGGCGTAAGCATAAACCGGTCGCAACAGGTAGTTTTTTGCCTCTTACTCCGATTTCGCACAACATGTAAAAGCAATAACCCGCTTTCTGTCAGCTTATTGAAGTGCGCATGTGTGATACGTGACAGGAACGCATCGTTAGTGCAGATTTAAGCGCATCTAGACCGAGCAAACATCTTGCAGTAAAGAAAGAAGGAAATATATCACAAAAGCAGACTTTTTCATGACTCAGAAAATGATAAAAATGTGTTCTCATCTCGTGCAGCAAGTAGAAGTGGTTCAGTCACAATGCTGCATTTATAACTGCATGAGAGGATAATATACGAGCTGTAAGTTTCCCGACATGTTGCAAGTTGATATGTTGCAAGCTTAATTTAACATCACAACTGACAAATGTATGGAATACTCGGGAGTCAGATACGCAAATGATTATATTTTGACGTCACTACAGGGAAATAACCTGATTTATTAATGAAGTCATGTAAACGCAGCTTACTTGCGTTGTCAGGTTACTGATGTGCATGTAAACTGGGAAAACTGGTTATTTTAATAAGCTGATATTTGTGAGTTATCAGCTTACTGGTGTGCATGTAAACGTGCTCACTAACATTAAAAAAGTGAAATCGCAATCAACCACCCCTTTAAATCTTGCCATGTGAATTCCTGTCCCTGCTTTACTGTTTTGATAATCTACTGTATTTAACCACCACATCTCTCGAGTCTGATGTCTGCAAAAGGCCAGAATGCTAATTGCTTGGCGCAAGGCCGCTCCAAATCTCTCTTTGCATCCACCTGCTGGTTATATCTGACAGTTAAGAAAGGACGGGACACACTGAGACCACTCAAGGGGGTACGAGTACACTGCACTGTAGGGACGGGGTCGGGAATGCCACACGGTTGGAGGCTCTGTCGTGTCTGACCTTGAAACCAGTCCAAATACATGTCGTCAGGACTGTCGTCCATCGCCTCATACAGGACTACCCAGCAGCAGTCCAGAAGAAAAAAACAACAGAAACACAGTCAACCCAGTGTGTCTGTGTGTACAGTATATATCTGTTACTTCTGTCTGACCCTCTTGTGGTGAAGTCTGTTTGTAACCAGCTATGTTTGGAATGGTGTCACACCGTGCTACTCGTACAATGTTTCACTTTTGAAAAGAAAATCTGTATAAAAATTCCATACTGTATTTGCCTAAATATTAATTTATGGGATAGTTCACCCAGTCTTCAATGTACAAAAGAGACATTTCAGAGCACAGTATATGCTCTTTTCTTATAGTGGATCATCTACTCCACTTTTTTGTTTTTTCCAAATCAGTATACAGATTCTCATATTGTTTAAATAAATATCTAGTTAGCAGTAAGCGCAATGCCACTATCCCATCCCAAACATAGCTTGTGTCTCACACTGCTTTAAAACTCTTTGGACAGTGTTTGTGAATATCCGCTCTGAACGGTACTGTGTGCGTCTCACCCTCTGGTGGCAGTCTGCGTGAGTGTGCGGAGGTGGCAGTGAGGCGAAAGCCTGCGGGCAGGGTCTCTGCTGAGCCCGGCATCATGCTGATCCCGTGGATGTCCCGTCGAGGAAACTGCCTCCTCCACGACGGTCCTCGGAAGTCTTTCTCGTCGCACTATGGATGGTCCAGATGCAGATTTTGTCCAAAGTGCTTTTTTACATTACATTGTCTTATTGCTGCAATTAATTACATAACACTACATACATGGCTTTAGCTTTGCTGTTTGATGCTAGTTTTATATAAAAAAAGCTTTCCCCTTAAATTATTTTTTTTTTTTTTTACAATTTCATTTTTGGTTATATCATTTTTTTTTCTACATTTTTAACTTGGTTTAAAAAATGTTTATATATTTTTATATAAAATTTTTTTCATATATTTTTATATGCATTCTGACCAAAAATCCATTCAATGACTAGGCATTACTAAACAGTCACAAAAAGAAAAAGACAAAACACTGGCTGTTCATGCTAATAACAAATAGGAAAGAAATGTATAATGTATTTCATTATACTAACGATCATCAAAAACAGGTTTCTAATTAAATAATATCTAAATGACCTTGAAACTTGTGTTACACTTAAAGGTTACACTTTTACAGTTACAGAACACTAAATAACCACCCAACAGCCAAGGTTAAGGGCCTAATTCTCACATTAACTTTTGCCTCAAACTCCTAATTTGCTGCTTTTTAATAGTTAGTAAGGTAGTTGTTAAGTTTAGGTATTGGGTAGAATTAGCGATGTAGAATATGGTCATGCTTTATAAGTTCTAATAAACAGCCAATATGTTAATAATAGTCATGCTAATAAACAACTATAGTTAAAGGGATATTTCACCCAAAAATTAAAATGTGATGTTTATCTGCTTACCCCCAGGGCATCCAAGATGTAGGTGACTTTGTTTCTTCAGTAGAACACAAACGAAGATTTTTAACTCAAACCGTTGCAGTGTGTCAGTCTTATAATGGAGGTGAATGGGAATCACGGCTTTGAGAGTAAAAAAAAAAAAGATACACAAACAAAACCAAATTAAACCCTGCGGCTCGTGACGATACATTGATGTGTAAAGACACATTTACTGCAAAGTCCGAACTGTCCTGAGCGCGTTCGCGTCTTCTTTTTCAGCCGGCACATGACGCATCTTCTTCTTCTTCTTGCTTTACGGCGGATCGCAGACTTATAAGTGCATTACCAGAAGAAGAAGACACGTCGTGTGCCGGCTGAAGAAGAAGACACGAACACGCTCAAGATGCGCTCAGGACAGTTCGGACATTGCAATAAATCAGAGGTAAAAAAACGATATAAATGCTGTTCAGTTTCTTGCACAAACCGATCGTTTCGTGTCTTTACACATCAATGTATCGTCACGAGCCGCAGGGTTTAATTTGGTTTTGTTTGTGTTTTTTTTTTTACTCTCAAACCCGTGATTCCCATTCACCTCCATTATAAGACTGACAGACTGCAACGGTTTGAGTTAAAAATCTTCGTTTATGTTCTACTGAAGAAACAAAGTCACCTACATCTTGGATGCCCTGGGGGTAAGCAGATAAACATAACATTTTCATTTTTGGGTGAACTATTCCTTTAATAGTGAGAATTGGTCCCTTTACTAAAGTGTTGGCGCCATGGGTCGTGGAAGTTTGTATGGGAGGTATTAACAAAAATATTTGTTCACAATCACTCATTTTTTTAAATTCTGTTTCCTTCATGACACTGGCTACAGTATGTAGGCAGTGCGAGTCATTAAACATTTGGAATGAAACCACTGTCGACTGTTCAATTCTATACAAAATGTAAGAAACTAGTGATTCACCTCATCTAATCGTCTCTCCGTTCCCAGCGCCAGCAGATTGTTGTACTCTCTTTCCAGAATTTGTCTAGCCTGTAGAAAGAAATTCATTAATTCAGCATTGGTACCAATGTTCCAAGTAACTGTAAAGTCCTTTTCACACTGAATGTGAAAATTTGGCACGAATGTTTGGCGCAATGACGCTTTTGAATCGAAACAATATTCTTATAGGGCGATCATTCGCAGCACGAAAAAGCAAGGATTTTTTTTTTCATCCTGTGTGGCGATATTTTCCCGTCACTCCGCGACGAAACGGGCCGCTCAATTAGATTTGAACCAAGATCACGTGCCCGGAGCAGCTGCTGTTGCACAAAAGGGTGAGAGTGGTGGCGCTGTTTCGAAAACCACCGTAAACAAACACCGAAGAAGAGTATTCTGAGAGAGAAGAGGATGCCGAGTTGTTGTTATCATTGGTATCTGAGAACAGATTTATTCTCACATTCTCACCACTTTATAAAGAATATAATTTCTGTATAAAGTCATTGTTATAAGTCAGAGTGCATTCGCTCAAGATCTGCCAATAATGGGATAATATCTCCTGCCATTACATATGAAAAAAAAGAGAAACATTTTTCTATACATGAAATATGGAAGTAAATAGACATGAGATTATGACTATATATTTTCTGTATGTTTTATGCAGCTCATTATATTTTTTTATAACTGTAAAGGATGTTTATGACAAATGATAAGCTGGTGTCACGTTCAATCCATTATAAAACATACAAATAGTGCATGTCTGCCTATTATAAAATAAAAATCCACTTTAGAACTCGGAAGTTATTACAACCACTCGATGATGGGTTAAAGTGGGTTTTAAGCAAAAAACAATCACATACATTTTCAAATGTAGCTTGATGCTAATTGTACCTCTATTTATATTTTAAGATGTATTCTTGTAGGAATTATAGATTGTTTGTGTTTCTGGTGCAGAACCAAACTTTATCTTAATTTAATGATGTATATATTGAGCAGCAGAGCATATACGAAATACATATCTGAGGAAAAATGCATTGCTGGTCGGCGCCAGCTAGCATGCAGGCGTGAATTAGCAGAAGGCGATCAATCGTTTCGTGCTCGGTGTGAAAGCACCATTCGTTGGCGATTCGCCTCACTTTTTCGCATCGCGCTCAGTGTGAAACGACCTTAACTGTAAAGAGTGTGTGTGTGTGTCTATGGATGGATGGACGGGTACCTGAGTGTTTTGGTTGGGGATCTGCAGCAGCAGGGCCAGGCTGCTGTAGTCAAAGTTGTCATCGAGCGCTATGAGCGCCCCGTGCACGCCGCTCTCTAACAGGATGTTGGCGTAGTCACGGAGGCCGATGCTCTGGATCCAGCGAATCACGCGCTCGTTAGTCCACACCAGCACGTCTGCGTAAAAATACACGCAAAAGTCATAATGTGTGTTTACGTTGGTTGGATTGTCACAGCCCTAGGAGTGTTTCCAAGCAGTTTCTGCCTACCTCTTATCTCGTGCTGGCTGCTCTCTCTGCGTCTCTCCAGCTCCTTCCTGTCGTAGTTGAGCTTCTTCAGGCACATGATGCCATACTGCAGACTGGTTCTGTTGCAAATTTGAATAAGCGTCAATTAATACATTCAAATGATACATTCATATTACAATCAAGGCAAGTTAGGTCACGTTAGCGCTAATTTAATTAATCAAATCAAAATAATTTATAGCAATACTTGGAGACCAGTGTGGTTTCACTGACCTGTGAAAGCTGTCCACCATTTTTAAATGCACTCGGAGGTCCTTCTTGGTGAGGTGGTCCAGCATGCGTGCGTCCACCAAACACTCCATGAAGTAGCTGCGGTACTGAGGTAGACCTAGACTGGGCAGCCACTCGTTCCCGATCCACTCGTGGTTCATGTCCCCGTATGCCAGTGTCTAAATGATACGTGCAAAAACAGTAATACTGTGAAACATTACTGCTGTTTAAAATAGCTGTTTGCTATTTTAATATATTAAATATATTTTTAAACCAAATTATTTTCTGGGATGGCAAAGCTGAATTTTCAGGAGCCATTAATCCTGAAACCCACACCACCTACTTCAATGTCACACCATCTTTCAAATATCATGCTAATTTTGTGCTCATTTATTATTATTGCGGCATAATCCATCCATCCATTGATACAGTTAGTAAGTCATTCTGTCACTCTAGTGTTAGTTCACCCAAAAATGAAAATTCTGTCATTAATTACTCACCCTCATCTCGTTTCAAACCCGTAAGACCTTTGTTCTTCTTCAGAACACAAATTAAGATATTTTTTATGAAATCCGAGAGCTTTCTGACCCTGCATAGACAGCAATGCAACTGACATGTTCAAGGCTTAGAAACCTAGTAAGGACATCCATGTGACATCAGAGGTTCAACATTCATTTTTTGAAATTACGAGAATAATTTTTTGTGCGCAAAGAAAACAAAAAGAATGACTTTACTGAATTTTGTTTTCTTTGCACACAAAATATTATTCTCATAGCTTCATAAAATTAATGTTGAACCACTGATGTCACATGGACTATTTTTAACGATGTCCTTACTACCTTTCTGGACCTTAAATGTGGTAGTTTTCATTGCTGTCTATGCAGGGTCAGAAAACACTCGGATTTCAGCAAAAAAGTCTTAATTTGTGTTCTGAAGATGAACAAAGGTCTTACGGGTTTGGAATTAATGAGGTGAGTAATTAATGACAGAATTTTCATTTTTGGGTGAAGTGTATGTTATAGCTATGCTTTTTAAAAATCCATTGCAAATGCGTTTGTTAATTTGTGTTTTCTGTTAGAGATGAGTAATGTAGCACTGTGTGGATTTTACACTCTCACCTGTGACCAGCTCCCCTCCTCTGACGCCGATTTCTGCAGAAGCACAAGAAAGTGAGTGTATCTGTGTTGTGTCTTGAAAATGTTGCGCTATATGTACATCTGTTAACTTTTCAAACCACGTACGTTGCACATGATCACGTGATTGTACATGCATCCGTATAAATGTTATTAAATGTGTAACGCAGCTCACACAGTGGATGAAAAAATCTAAGAAACTAGTGCTTGATTCCTCTAATCATCTGCATGCAAACACAATACATTACACACAAACTACATCACATACATGACATGCGGTCATCTTCAGTGTGCATGTGACACATTGTGAGCGTTTCCGTTCCACGCTCGTGTTCCTAGTGATCGTGAAGCTGACGAGGGTGAACGGTGATGATTGTATGAGGCTGTGATGAGGCTCAATGGAGAATAACGAGGCTACTTTTATTCTCTTTTGACTGATTGCATTTGATTTGAATGTGAGAATGTTACATCCATTCGGCCTTGCTTTTTTCAGAGCTGTTGGGAACCAATGGATGTAACAGAAGCACATATGAGTTGATTATTGAAGCTCAAATATATTCAGACATGAATTGATGTAATCTTCCTCTGCCTAGTTAGGGACCAGAGCTCACAGTCGACATGAAACCGCATTCATGACTCATTTTACTTCTGTAAATTCATATTTGAGGAGGCTTTTGGACAGTCAATAACAATAACTGCTGTATCCACCGGCTGATAATGGAAAATCGTTTCAGAACAGATGCAGCTTGAATTGTGCACAGTAACATCAGGATCGTGTCCTAATAAAGTAAATGAGGGGTGATTTTGATTTCATGTCGACTTTCCTGCTCTATCCTGATTCTGTGAAAGCAAAAAGGGTCAGTAAACAAAGGATTATGTGAAAAAAAACAACCCTAGTTTGGTTAGAGTTAAAAAGAATGAAGTGACTGACCGTTTTGGAGGGGGCGGCAAGGGTCTCCATTTCCTCGTGGGTTACCCACACATTACCCGACGGCTATGTGGGCGGCCCCAGAGATGAATCCGACAGGAAGGGCAAGCAGTGTTAAAGAAGAAGAGCAGCAGCACTGTAAGCCAATAGTGTTACAGCATCACAGTCAGATCATTAGCAAGGCCCGCCCACAGAGTCAAAGGCCTGAGACAAACACGCATACAGAGAGCACAAGCACACTGAATGCACATCAGGGGAGATGAAAGTTGCGTCCCAAATGACTCACTTATACACCATGTACTTATGCACTATGTACTCAACTGTGTAGTGTATGAAATTTGTAAGGTTATTTTGTCATTTAACTTTAGCGTCTGATAGCCCCTCCCCTCTGCTACAAAATTAAAGCTGAAACAGTTGACTGTAAAATTTCCAACATTATACACTTTGTTTTTTGGTTAATTAAGTTAACACGTGGTTATTTAAATTGCACATTCTCTTTTTGGAATTTTCAGTGTGAATGCAATACTCGCACTATTTGCACTACAAAACAGCACAGAATAGCGCACAAGTACATAAATTGGGACGCACCTAAAACGTCGTTCTGACTGACGGAACAGGAACTGCTGCTGAAGACGACACAACTGCTTTGAAAGTGCAAAATGAGCTGTGTACACACTGCATTTTTTTTTTTGTCGCTGCCTTTATGTGTAAAAAAAAAAAGTGAGCTCAAATGTTTTCAATTTTTTTTATCTTAGAACAAAATTAATCTTTTACAATACAATTATGAAATCTGTCTCAGATGGCCAGGTGTGGACAAAATTGTCCAGTGTGCACCACACTTTGTGTAGTTAGTAGTTTATCAGGAGCTGCTTTGAGAAGGAGTGCATAAAAATAACTTTCAGAAAGAAAAACATCAAATACACAAGCTGCAGTTTGACCGCTGGGATGTGCTGTGAATGCGTCATTACACGATACCATGCCAGATCAGCTGTCGAGTTTCCAGTTTCTCCGATTGATGCAAAACACTATTACCATGACAACGGAACAAAATAAAGCTGTGGATGGGTTGAAAATAGCTGATGATGATGATTGGTTTAGTGGCTATGGTGACTGACATTGATAGTTAACCGATGCGTCCCAGTATTTGCCAAACAATGCAAGACTCCTAATGATGAAACCAATGGGCGGTTTTGTTTTTGTAAATTATAAATGTATGTTAATGTATGTTACTGAAAACCAAGTGTGTTTTGTGTGTGTGTGTGTGTGTGCACTCACGGTTCTAGACGTAGGGGGAGCCGAAGGGCTGGTGAGCGAGACCATCTCCTGGATGGCCAAGCGCAGTTTGAGGCGGTGCAGAGGATTGCTGATGCCGATCTCTCTCTGGATCTCGGTGTCCGACAGGGCTGACATGATAGCGCCACTTTTTACGTTGGCACGACAAGCTGCGACGTACCATGCTGGCATCCCTAGCCACAGCTTTGAACACACACATTGTAGCATGATTAAACATGTATATAAAAAATTAAAGTACAACTCTAGAACATCTACTATTATGCAGTATCTTCCAAGCTTCACCACTAGATGGCGCCATTGCTTTACATCTAATGATAAACGTGAACAGATCCGTTCTGACCGCAAGCAAACAAACCCGAATACTGGCAAAATCTCCACAATCTTCACATTCACTGATGTACATTCAATTTTTAAAACCAGAAGCTGAAAATATTCATACAATTTCAATAAACTGCTAATTAAAAAGAAAACTACTGTATGTTAACACTGTATCTTGGCAAACTCGTATCAGTTACTGTCTCGAAAAACATTGCAGCCATGTTACTACAACTAAACACTTCAATTGCATCATTCTAGGAGACACTGATCGCAGTATGCAATATGTAACTGTTGTGCTGTTGATTCGATACAGCTCAGGTCTTTATTTAGCTGCCATTAAAGATCCCCGGAGCTAGCTTAACCGCACAATAAAGTATCTGTGCTATTATATGGAACAAACACAGAAATAATTCACAGGATCCCACCCTAGGCCGCCTTTAATCACACATTTCCTCAGCGTCATTATGGTGCATGATCTCCCATATTATACTAATACAAGGACGTAATAACAACTATAACTGGGGACTGTGAGGCTTCTAGAAATTTGTAATATATAATGGTATATTTAAGGTTGGAATACACTACAGCATCTGAACTGATTTTAAAACACTAGACATCATTACTTGCTGACTTTGTAAATGGTTACAGAGAAAACTGGCCATTATACACAAAATTACTAATCTCAAAATGATCTCACATACTACCAGACTTTCCATCTCACACCACAACTCCCCCAAACTGTAAATTGGGGCAAAAGCCACATAGTGTATTTCAGCCTTTAGTAACTGAATACACAAGAGCTGGCTGTCAAATCTACCTAGAAGGCATCAAATTACCACAGCTGGGTAGTAACTGATGTTACTACATGTAATCTGGAATTAAGTACTTGTAATTACATTACATTTTAAGTGCATGTTACTTTTTATTGACACGATTACATATTATTCACACAAGAGTAATAAATTATTCATAATTTAGTGATTCTCCCTAATTACTAATTTCTTTCTAAAATAGCCTACTGCTTATATACATTCAGAAAGTCGTCCAGTTTGGTGGATATTCACAAAAAGACCAGTCATTAGTCAGTATAAGATGTGTTTCAACACTGCATCAGCTACTGATGAATACATTCATTTACATTATCATTCAGTGGGTTATTTAACCATGTATACTATATCTTGGGAAAGCTTTTGTCTTTCAAACACATTAAAATGCACAAATTCACCCAGATCAAATAAAAGAGTTCAAGCAGGTAAGTTTCATTTTAATTTTTAATATTTAGATCTTGTGTGTCCTATACATTGATTTATTTGTGGCGGCCGCCACAATATCAAAACTGACCGCCACAAATAGATTTTCCAAAAGGCTTTGACTTCATTTACTGTTATTAGAGTAGTTAATCGTTAGCATAAGCGCGCCTAACGCTAATATAATGAGCATTAGAATGAAGTTTCTTTATTAACTATTTAATGCTCCTATAACTTCTATTAGGGAAAAAAATGATAAGGACATGATGATATTTACTATTTTTACACACCAGAGGCTTTTAAATGAATTGTGAATCTAAAATATGCATGTTAGATAATGTACAAATGGTTAAAACTGTTTGTTTCATATCAGTCAGAAAAGCAGTTCTGGGCTTTTTTTTTTTTTTTTATATATGTATATATATATATATATATATAAATATGTATGCGTGTGTGTGTGTGTAATGCAAGGATTCCCGAACTATTTTGCCCTCTGAACCTCTTTCACCTAATATATTTACTTGAAGTACCCCTGAGATTTTAAAATAAATATTATTATTATTTTAATTGTTATTTTAAAATGATTTGATTAACGAGTTAGGTCAAAAGTAATCAATGTGTAATGTAATGGATTACATCACTAACTAAAACTTTTGTCATGTAAATCAGTAACGGATTACAATAAGTAATCTACCCAGCACTTCTAACCAATACCTGCCTTTTAGAAAATGGATGTAATTGGACGTCATTACTCGCATAGTGTTCATTAGCCAAGTTGATATGTTCTGAGTGTCTTGCCCACTTTTCACATATATCTTGCATATATAAGATTTATATATATAAAAAAAAATATTTTCATTGCAAAAAAATGAGTACTGCCCACCTCCAACCAGGCGACAACTGTAGGACCGTCCCACTGAGCAAAAGGTAACCCTTTTCTTCTGGCTTCTTCCAACAACTCGTGCCTAGAAAGAGCAGGTGACAGAGACAGAGAGGAAGACAGATTAGGAGAAAGACAGAACCAGTTTGAGATAATCAACTGAACAGAGAGAGAGGGAAAGGGGCATGTAGAGAGAGAAAGTGAGATGCTTTATCGGTCTCTGCCAGGTTTCCTGTCCTTTAATGGCCACTATCTGTTTATCAGAGCAACATGGAACACTAAATGCACAAGTTTCTTCTTAAAAGTTTCTTTCGTACCCACTACTATTCTGTAATTAGCATGTAGCGTGACGAATGCTACCTTTTAATGT